CACACACACACACACACACACACACACACACACACACACACACACACGTGAGCTTTATCATGTGTGATGTGTTTGTGTGACCAGACTGCACACCAGAAACACTTCATGAAGAACCGCTTTCATGTGTTTCGATGGCTGATAAATCACACTGTTGCACTTCAAGATAGTAAATACATAAATACAAAGATGCATGCCACAAGCTATAAAATGTACATTTATTTTACATATATTTATGTAAAATAAATAAAAGATATAAAATTTAATATTTTAAAAGTTTTATTTACTAAAATAATAAATCATTAATTAATTTGGGGAAAAGATCTACATTCCAACATTTCTAAATTTGAAAATAAATCCGTAAAATAAACTTCTTGATTCTGCTATTATAGTTTAAAGAAAACGTGAATGTACAGAAAGTAAACACTGTACCCAACAGCAGACTCGCTAATCTCTATATTTTATAGAATATTTACTAAAATAATTAATAATTAAAATAAATCATTTGAATGTGACAAAAAATTTTTAATAATTAAAAAAATAACAAATGCAACTTGCTATGAAATTGTAACATGAAATATGAAAATAAATATTTTACAAATATTCGCTACAATAATTAGAAGTAATTCATTTGAAAATTAATCAATTTACAAAAATCTAAATAGTTTATGAATTTAAAAATAAATACATTTTACATAGAAACTTGCTTCTGTAATAAATCATATTACAGTTTAAAGAAATTATTGAACATTAATTATAAATAAATAATTGAAAACTAATCAGTTTGAAAAAAACATTTTGAATTTGATAGAAAATAAATGTATACATTACATAAGAACTTTACGATTCTGTAATCAATCCTCTTTTATAGTTTTAAAAAAGATAAATAAAAAATAAACGCTGTAACCAACAGTGCAATCGGTAAACTGGGTAGTCTGTTCATTTTAAATCATATTTACTAAAACAATTAGAAGTTAATAGTTCGAAAATGAATCATGGTTCATGAATAAAGATGTTTGTTAAATATTCAAAGATGTGTTAAAATGATTAATTTGAGAGTGTTTGTCTGTTGTTAGTCAGAACTGATGGAGCATCTGTGTCAAAATAAAAGTCCCATCCTCGGCTGATGTATCGGCCTGGTCACATGACCCGGAGCCCGTGTGTGATTGGTCAGTGTGTGTGTGTGGCTCACCGGTGGCGGAGAGGACGGTGTCGGTGGTGCTGCTCAACTGCAGGAGGATTGTGGGATAGTCTGGGTGGAGCAGGAAGAGCTTGCGGAGGACTGGCTCTGCTGCGGCGGGAGCCTGCGGGACACAAACACACAGCCAATCAAACGCCGCTCTCAGCACGCATGCGCTGATCATGTGATCTACAGAGGGGCGTTGCCTTGGTGACGTTCTGCGGCTGTGCCAGCGGATCTCCCGCCCAGAACAGGAACACCGATTGGCCGGACGCCGTCAGAACGGACGAATCCTCCACCGCCAGACGAGGACACACAAACTCCGCCTCCCACAGGCTCCGCCCCCGAGCACCGTCCACGATCTGCACCTGCGGTCACACAGACACTGAGCGCTGCGCCTGGTGAACCATTTAATGAGATGCTAATGAGATTCACACCTTCCTCACGCCATTGGCCGACTGATGAACGAGCAGATCAGGAACGCCGTCGTCGTTAAAGTGACCCGCCGCCGGACGCCTGCAAGCACAAAAGAGTTTTTAACTGAAGTACTAAAATAACTACACTTAAAACTGAAATGGAATATAAACAGACATACTTCGTAAAAAATAAAACAAAACGTAACAAAAAAAATCCAATAAAATTACTAAAACTTTAACTAAAATGAAAATGATAATGGAAAATATATAAATAAAAATGACAAAAATGCGCAACGAAATTACTAAAACTTGAACTCAAATTAAAATGTAAACGGAAAATATGAAAGTAAATAATACCTAAAAATATTACAAAGAATGTGTAAAGAAATTGCTAAAACTTTAACTGAAATTAAAATGTAAATGGAATATATTAAAATAAAAAAAATGATTTAAAATATTACTAAAAATGTGCAAAGAAATTACTAAAACTTTAACTCAAATTAAAATGAAAACGGAAAATTAAAAAATGAAAGAATTTAAACTATTAATAAAAACTACGAAAACACGACAAAAAAAATGAAATGGAATTCATAATAAAAACTAAATTAAAATAAAAAATAGCAAAAATGTACAACAAAATTACTAAAACTTTAACTGAAATTAAAATGTAAACGGAAAATATGAAAATTAAAAATACCTTACAATATTACAAAAAAATACATAAAGAAATTGCTAAAACTTTAACTGAAATTAAGATGTAAATGCAAAATATTAAAATAAAAAAATGATTTAAAATATTACTAAAAATATACAAAGAAATCACTAAAACTAACTCAAATTAAAATGAAAACAAAACGAAAAATTAAAAAATTAAAGATCATTTAAACTTAACTACAAAAACACACGACAGAAAACTTTATCTAAAATTTTAAAAAATGAAATGGAAAATATAATAAAAACTAAATGAAAATAAAAAACAGCAAAAATGTACAACAAAATTACTAAAACTTCAACTAAAATTAAATTGAAAACACACTAAATATATTAATAGAAACTACAAAAACAATAAAATTACTAAAACTTCAAATATATTAAAATTGGAAAATGGAAAATATAAAAATAAAGAAATAATTTAAATATTAATAAAAACAGCAAACACACAAAGAATTACAAACTTTAAAACTAGATAAAAAAGTTTGTCAAGGCAAACTTTAGGTTGGCTTGAGAAAGCCTAGCCTGAAAGTTTAAAGCTGTTGTAAAAGCCTGAAGTTTGATAATTTAGATATTAGATGTTGATAACGTTTCTAGCATGTTTTTAGCATGATTAGCCTGATACTAACATACTGATGGCATGATTAGCATGTTACTAGCATGATTAGCAAGTAACTAGCATGTTGTTAGCATGATTAGCAAGTGACTAGCATGTTGCTAGCATGATTAGCAAATAAATAGCATGTTAACATCATTAGCAAGTGACTAGCATGTTTCTAGCATGATTAACGTTACTAACATATTGCTAGCATGATTACCAAGTTACTAGCATTTTGCTAGCATGATTAGCAAGTTACTAGCATGTCACTAACATGCTTATAGAATGATTAGCATGTCGCTAGCATGTTTCTAGCATGATTAGCATGTTACTAGCATGATTAGCATGATTAACAAGTTACTAGCATGTTGCTAGCCTGTTTCTAGCATGATTAGCAAGTTACTAGCATTTCGCTAGCCTGTTTCTAGGATGAGTACCATGTTACTAGCATGATTAGCAAGTAACTAGCATGTTTATAGCATGATTAGCAAGTTACTAACATGTCGCTAACATGATTTATTAGCTTTTTTTAGCATGATTAACAAGTTACTAGCATGTCGCTAGCATGTTTCTAGCATGATTAGCATGTTACTAGCATATTGTTAGCATGATTAGCAAAGTTACTAGCATGTCGCTAGCATGTTTCTAGCATTATTAGCATGTTACCATGATTAGCAAGTTAGTAGCATGTCGGTAACATGTTACTAGCATGATTAGCAAGTTACTAGCATGTCACTAGCATGATTAACATGTTACTAGCATGTTGTTAGCATGATTAACATGTTCCTAGCATGTTGCTAGCATGATTAGCAAGTTACTATCATGTTGCTAGCATGTTTCTAGCATTATTAACATGTTACTAGCATGTTGTTAGCATGATTAGCAAGTAACTAGCATATTGCTAGCATGATTAACAAGTAACTAGCATGTCGTTAGCATGTTTCTAGCATGATTAAAATGTTTGCTAGCATGATTATCATGTTACTAGCATGTTGTTAACATGATTAGCATGTACCTAGCATGTTACTAACATGTTGTTAGCATGATTAGCAAGTAACTAGCATGTCGTTATCATTTTTCTAGCATGATTAGCATGTTGCTAGCATGATTAGCAAGTTACTAGCATGTCGCTAGCATTTTTCTAGCATGATTAGCATGTCGCTAGATAGCTAGATAGTTAGATTAGAAATATTAGATGAGTTTGAATGGCTTATAATAGTACATAGAAGGGAAGCTTGATTGAGCCTCAAGGGAATCTGGGAGTTTAAATTTGAATTTTGACAGTTGGAGTTTGAATAGTCTTGGCACATCTGAACATTCCGTCAATGTAAGTCTATGGGACTTTTATGATTTTTAATCTTCAGTTTTATGAAAACCAAAGTCGGATCAGTCTGAAAAGACATAGCACACTAAGTCAGATCAGTCTGAAGAGCTGGGCCAAGTTTGGTGGTTCTAGCATTCTCTAGCTTTCTCAAGCCAACCTGCCAATTTTAGAAGGAAAATAGAAATGATAAGAAATAATTCAAACAATGGGAATGAAAACGGTGACAGTGAAGTCTGCTAGTGTAACGGTAACTGTAAAGATAACTGGAGTGTGTGTGTGTGTGTGTGTGAATACACACGTGTGTATGGAGGCGAGGCTGAGGCTCCATGCGGTGTGTGTGTCGCTCGCTCTCAGCACAGACAGACGGCTGCTGGCGTCACACAGCAGGATCCAGTCGCTGCGGCTGCAGTTCAGCTCCAGATTACTGTGCTTCTGACACGAGCCGGCCACCAGAGGGAGCAGGAACTCCACCTGCTCAGAGCCGCTGACACACACACACACACACACACACGGGTCAGACGAGTGTGTGTGTGTGTGTGTGTGTGTGTGCTGTCAGCGTGTGCAGCACCTGCTGATGTGAATGAGTGAAGACGAAATGCTCTTCCTCAGACGCTCCCAGCTGGGCTCCTTCAGTCGCACTCGAGACGCCGCCGTCTGACCCGTCGCTCTACTGTAGATGTGGGAGAGAGAGACGGCCTCCACCGTACCTGAACACACACACACACACACACACGCAGTTCACACGACAGCTCCACACACACACACACACACACCCGTCACACTCACCCAGTCCAAACAGCACGTAATAGGCTCCCGTTTGCGTCTCGTGCAGCAGCGGACCAATCAGCTTCCCCTGAGCCGTGAGGTTAAAGTTCACCGGCCGGCCAATCAGAGCGCCCGAGCGGCCGGAGATCAGGACCAGAGCCAGATCAGACACCTGAGGAATTACCTTTAAAGTTATCAGTACAGTTACAGCTAGTTATTGTTACAGTCATCTTTAGTTATCATTATTGTTCTGCTCGTTACTGTTACAGTTACCTTTATAGTTATTGTTACAGTTATTTATTGTTACTGTTATTCTTACAGTTAGTTATTGTTAGTTGCCATTGTAGTTATTGTTATTGTTACCGTTATAGTTATTGTTAGTTATTGTTTGTTACAGTTACAGTTATTTATTGTTACTGTTATTGTTACAGTTATAGTTAGTTGTCATTGTAGTTATTGTTACAGTTAGTTATTGTTTGTTACAGTTACCTTTTAAGTTATTACAGTTATAGTTCCCGTTATTGTTACGGTTATAGTTATTGTTACTGTTATTGTTACAGTTATAGTTATTGTTAGTTGTCATTGTAGTTATTGTTACAGTTATAATTAGTTAGTTACAGTTACTGTTGCTGTTCGTTATTGTTAGTTACCATTATAGTTATTGTTACAGTTATAGTTATTGTTTGTTACTGTTACCTTTAAAGTTATCATTACAGTTACAGTTATTGTTACAGTTATCATTATTTATTGTTACAGTTATCTTTAAAGTTATCGTTATTGTTACTGTTCGTTACTGTTACAGATACTGTTATATTGTTGCAGTTATAGTTATTGTTAGTTGTCATTGTAGTTATTGTTACAGTTATCATTAGTTAGTTTGTTACAGTTATCGTTATTGTTACATTTATCTTTAAAGTTATTATTACAGTTACTGTTACAGTTACCGTTATAGTTATTTATTGTTACTGTTATTGTTACAGTTATAGTTATTGTTAGTTGTCATTGTAGTTATTGTTACAGTTATAATTAGTTAGTTACAGTTACTGTTGCTGTTTGTTACTGTTGGTTACCATTATAGTTATTGTTGCAGTTATAGTTATTGTTTGTTACTGTTACCTTTAAAGTTATCATTACAGTTACAGTTATTGTTACAGTTATCATTATTTATTGTTAGTTATCTTTAAAGTTATCGTTATTGTTACTGTTCGTTACTGTTACAGATACTGTTATAGTTATTGTTGCAGTTATAGTTATTGTTAGTTGTCATTGTAGTTATTGTTACAGTTATCATTAGTTAGTTTGTTACAGTTATCGTTATTGTTACATTTATCTTTAAAGTTATTATTACAGTTACTGTTACAGTTACCGTTATAGTTATTTATTGTTACTGTTATTGTTACAGTTATAGTTATTGTTAGTTGTCATTGTAGTTATTGTTACAGTTATAATTAATTAGTTACAGTTACTGTTGCTGTTTGTTACTGTTGGTTACCATTATAGTTATTGTTACAGTTATACTTATTGTTTGTTACTGTTACCTTTAAAGTTATCATTACAGTTACAGTTATTGTAACAGTTATCATTATTTATTGTTACAGTTATCTTTAAAGTTTTCATCACAATTATCGTTAAAGTTGTTGTTACAGTTAACGAGTTGCAGTCGTATTAACTCTTGTGCTGGAATGAATCGTTTTTGCGTTTGCAGGGATTTGATATGCTCACCTTTGCTCTGTGCGTTCATTGGCTGGCTGTTGTTGGAGATGTTCGTAACGCCAATCAAAACGTCCTCCAGTCCGTCGCCATCCACGTCCCACAATGCAACAGGAGGGGACGTCACGCCTGAGAGGAAGAGCACATGCTGGTGGTGCTGCAGCTTTATTTCATGGGTTATGCGGTGGAGCGTCACTCACCTGCCGTGTCTCCCAGCTCTCTCTCCCACTGTGGCGCCCCCTGCGGGCAGGGAATGAGGAACGCACACAGCAGCACCAGCAGCGCGGCGCAGGACAGCGGCAGCAGGAACACAGCGGTCCGCACCGCCCCACGCACCTGCGCCGCCTTCTCCTCCGCAGCTCCGCCCTGACCCCGCCCAGCCCCCGCCCCCTCCCTCAGCTCCTCCTCATCATCTAACTCCTCCTCTTCCCTCAGATCGGCCACCGCCGGGCTCAGACCGTTACAAGGGTAATTCAGCACCAGATCGTCGTCCTCCGTCTCATCCTCGCTGTCGGCCTGCGTCAGCGGGTCATAAAACACCCACACCCACACACACACCCACACCCACACACACAAACACCCACACCCACACACACACACCCCCACACACACACAAACTCAGCGTAACATGTTAGCATACATGTAATTCAATGATTCAGTCATTAAACATAAGATTTTGTATTCACCATTTCATTTATTTGAAAGCCTAACGGTTTTTTTAAAACACAAAAAACAGTGGTCACGTCACTGTTCCGTTTACCATGGTACTGTATTGTTCCTACACTGATGTAGCATGGTATTTTCGAGGTGTTTCGTGTTTGATCATCGCACTGAGCAGCAGCACCGATCTGTAATGCTGACTCTTCGCTGCTGAGTATAATGTAATATTATATAATCGATACTGCGCTTAATCGATGGATGCTCGAGGAAATATCTGATTATTAATATCGATCAGTACGATCGCGTGTGGGATTTAAACGCACATAACGGAATGAATGAAGCCGCGTCTGATAATCGCATCACTGACGTCACCCGCATCCGAGCGCCGCTTACTGCTATCGTTGCTTTGATCGTTTATTCGCTATTAATAAATGACTCACCCGGTAACTTCAGAGCGCGAGACAGAGACGCAGCCATTGCGCGCGATGTTATCGGCGACGCGACGCGACGCGTGTGCTGCTGCCGCTACAGCGCTGGAGAGGTGCATCATGGGTAATGGAGTCTTTTCGCAGAACCTCCCAATGTGAAACAAAGTAACATCCAAACAAACAAACAAACATTTGAAGGACTTTATATCAGCTGCGTTGAATACATTAGCATTATATTCTCATGTTGTGACACTTTAATAATGTAATATGTTAACAGGTAAAATCGCAAATGAAAACATTGCTTTCATACATATTTAATTAGATTAAAATATTAGTATGCTCACTAGCAGTGTTGGGGAGTAACTAGTTACATGCAATGGAATTACGTAATTTAAAAACAAAATAAACAGTTACTGGGAAAAAATGTGTCATTAAATTACAGTTACTTATGAAAATGTTAATGATTACAAAGGAGGTACATCTGAATATTTTCACACACATACAGATTTAATCGAGTTCTTTCATTAACTGCAGTGACTGCTCTAAAATATGAGACAGCAGTGCTTCAGGAGTTTAGGACACATGCTTATTCAATAACTGGTTTATTTCCTATTTGGGTTTGTATATGCTTTATTTTGTTTCCCCACAGCATAGATTCCGGTGTTTCCATTGCTTTGCAAAGATCTGAGAAACAGTATAGCTATTAAACTGTCTCTTGTTATGGTTTGAATCTGTATTTAACCTCAGAAGGATCTCAGAGTAAGTCTGATGTTACACTACTTATTACATTTTAGATAGAGTAACTTAGTCCCAACTCTGGTCACTAGGAGGGGTAGTTTTGCGTTTTCGGATTTGTGTTGTTGTTGTTATGAAGTGGCAATTTGTTTAGGAGACATTTACTTCCCAAAATGCGGCGAACTGTCTCTGCTTATGTTCATAAACGGTAGCCGCAAGCGTTATGTTTTGAGTTATGCTTCCATACTGAGTCATTAATATAATATTTTACTTTCTTTACATTCATTAATATAACAAAGAAAAATGTAGAATGAAACAAGGAAATAAACTCCATCGTTTTTCATTGTATAAGCACTCTGAAAATAGTTCAAATGGGCTTTATTCCTTTTTATCTGTGTAATAGTTTAATAATAAAACCTGCAGTAATAAGGCTCTCGCGTTCCGCGTGTATTTTGAGCCTTTCCGCTGCCCGTCACGCTTCGCCCCGCCCATATGTACGTAACGCGCATGCGTACTGCGCCCGTGTAGAATCCAGCAAGCGTAGATATGGCGGATCTCTCCCTGGATGAAGTGATTCGTCGCCGCAGTTTTAACGCCAGAGGAGTCAGTAAGAGGTAAACGCGTCCAGACGCTTCAGACGGCGTTCATGTAAACCGCGGGGGCGTTTCAGCCTAATTCTTTGTTTATAAACGCAGTCGTGTAGGCTGAGCGCGATGTCCCGCCTTCTCCCGCCGCTGATTGGTTAATATGCCCGTTTGAGCCGCGCTCTGATTGGCTGACGCGTCCTGCGCGTTTCTGTTCGCGGCTGTTTTTACAAACAAACCTCGTACCTTGTGTTAATTTCATGAATTTCGGCAGTTCTTTCACATTATCGACACCTCTCGCGTGAACTAGAACACGTAACGCAGCCGTGTTATTAAAACACGACGTGCTTCAGTGGATTGATCGATGAATCGGCCGATATCCGTCGAGCGACAGAAGTGAGACATTTCACATACTTTTGATTCAAAGTACCTGTTCATACACATTCCCTTTTTAATACATGTATATTTTTATTTTGTGTCACAGAGACAAATTCCCTGTGTGTATGAACACTTTGGAAAACAAAGTTGATTTTGATTCGAATTGGGAATTCGTCTTTAGGAATGAAGAATCTGCGTTTCAGCAGGTTTGTTTGCGTCCTGTTGGTCTTTCCTGTGTAACTCTGCTGTTGTCCCGCCCACAGGCCCATATATGGCAGAGGGGCGGGGTCAGTGGGCAGGGCCTTCGATGCCCGTCAGAAGATTGGCAGCAGTGATGTCAGACAGCGGCTGGGAGTGGGCGGAGCTACAGCAGGTAAGCGCGCTGGGACTGATGGAAGCTCTGGTTTATTCAGACTCTAGTGTTGTTCATCGCTCTGTCCGTCTCCAGCGTTCCAGGTAAAAGACGCGAGAGAGAAGCTGGGACAGAAAGATGCACGGTTCCGGATCCGAGGTCGAGGGGGCGGAGCCGGTGCGGTGCAGGACGCGCGGCAGCTGATCAACTCACGCAAACAGCAGCAGACTCCGCCTCCGAGCGTGACGCCCGTCAAACCCACGGGAATCCCTCACGTCCAGATCCACAACACCGGCCCCGTCTCTGCCGGCCCCCGGCCCCAGAACGCCAGAATGGGTGTGGCCCTGCAGCCAGGAGGCGGGATCACAAAAGTAGTGGATGCACGCGATAGGTTGAGCTTAAAGAGGAGCGTCCCGACGGCGTCCAATCAGAGCGCAGCGCCTCTGAAGATCACCAAAACCATCCAGGTGAGCGGATGAGCGGCGGTTGTTACGACTGGAGATATTGATCAGCATCACATGATGACTGTGTGTGTGTGTGTGTGTGCAGCAGAGGCCTGTGGGAATGACCAGCGGGATCCGCTTCAACGTTCCCAGTGCAGCCGCTCCGGTGAGACTCACACATCAGTCACCACACCATTCCTCAGAAACACTTTCATAATCAGCATCGCTTTGAGATGACACTGAATTCATCCATTAGTCCGTTTTAATGAGCGTACAGAATTAAGCATCACATAAAGTCTGATGATCACCTGGGTGTCTCCCCTTGTAGGTTTCACCTGCTGGTGCTGATGATGATGATGATGATGAAGATAGTAAAACAGTCCATGAGACATCAGTAGTTCATCCGCAATTATACGAAGCTACGAGAATACATTTTGTGCGCAAAGAAATCAAAAATAACTATTTATTCAACAATTCTTCTCCCCCGAGTTACGTCTTCAGCCATTTTAGAGAGTATCTAAGAACGTAATCTGCGTAATCAGCGTTGTTTACGTTCGGGACAGTAGACGGATTTGTCACTTCCCCGGGGCCACTGCAGCGTCGTCACGACATTTTATCAGTTGCATGTGTTTTTGAGACTTGTTAATTTGAAAATTCAAGCGATTAAAAAGCATTTGGGCGCGAAAGATAACTCCTTTCAGTACTCGAGCGCTGTGTTCTGTGTGAACAGTCTCTGACACGTTCGAGCCGTCTGAACGAGCAAATACATACAAAAGTATATCAAAATACCCGTCCTGGCAAGTAACTCTGTAGCTTTAACAATGATTAATCTATATTGAATTTATACACTGGAGTACAGATGCACCGGACATTTTTTGTTTTATCTTCTGTTCCGTGCTTGCACACAAACTGCACTGCAATCATTTTCCCAAAGGCCATTTGTGTGGAAATATTACGTTATTATTGTACTTGGTCTGTAAACGGCCACTAACAGAGGCCAGAGATGCTGAAGACAGACACAAAGAGAAGAAAATACTGTAGCAGGCAGAACAAGGTCACTGTTCACCATGCGCAAAATATAGGAAGAAAATCCAAACATTGAGTTTAGGGATGTTCATTTCGGTTATTTTTCCTAACCGACGCTCGTTAACCGATTATTAACCGTTAACTGACAAGATTATTTTAAATTAGAATTGAATTAAATCAGAAAGGATAAGTGTCTGTGACCCGTTAAAAAAATACTAACATTTGTTTTCCGGGGATTAATGTCACATTAGCAGCAAACAACAGAACATGAGGATCACATGCATCACATCCTTGACAATGCAGCCTGTTCATTATCATAATACAATACAGTCAGTCAAACATTAAAAAAAAAAACATATAGTACAGAAAATATGTAGTAAAATCTGTGCCGTTAAGTGTTATCACCGTACCGCCGTGATGTTATGTTATGTTTTGTTTTACGTGCAGCGCCAGTGACGTAGGCTACATAATAAATAATAATTTGGCATTCAAATACATCGCGAATACGGAAACATTTGATTTTGTGTGGAATGAGAGACCCAACGCTGGTTTCAGTTTCGTTTAGCTATAGCTTCTTATATTTTTAATTCTTCTTCTTTTCTAAATACTGTTAATTGAAAGGATTTGTTGTGGAGTGAGGGGAACTAAAATAGCCTAGCTATGCTTACAGTGTTTATTATAATGTTTGTAAACACTTCGCGTCTGCATTAGGCCTATTTCTGAATGAAACTATAAAATGCGACTTATGTTTTTTTCTCTAAAAAACACAATATTTTATATACGCGTAGCATGTTTTAACCATGCAGCAAATCTTTTTAAATATTCTGATAAATTACTGAAAAAAACATAATATACCTCTGTAAATAAATACAATTTAAATTCACGTCTCGCACACTTAAATGCCCTTTGTCTGGAACATATACGCTCCCTTCAAACTGGAATCATGGCGGAATATCCGGTAATGTCCACTTCGCAGGGCACTTGCAGTCAAATATAACAAACGTCTGAAGCAATAAGAGAAACATACAAAATGTGCAGAGCGGGGGTAAGCGAGGACTGGAATTGAGAACCGCTGCTCTAGAAAATGAGATAAATATGCGTTCTGTGTGAACTTGGTTTGAAGTTTTGATGTAAACAACAACATCTCCACACTGATGCTCTCGTTTTCCACAATATATATGAATGAACAACGTAGCAGCGCCGCATCTAGTGGGTTCAACTGGATAGGCCATCATATGACCCCTTTAAACCACAGTAGAAAAAATTATTAGCGTTGATCCCTGGGTATGTTTCATCGGGCCGCAAAGAAATATAGATCTGAGTATCATCAGCATAACAGTGAAAGCTAACACCGTGTTTCCTGATGATATCTCCCAAGGGTAACATGTAAAGCGTGAAGAGTAACGGCCCTAGTACTGAGCCTTGAGGTACTCCATACGCTCCATTTTCCGGGCTGCTCTCTTTAGGGTGCGAGTGTGCTCATTATACCACGGTGTCAGACTGTTTTCCTTAATGTTCCTTAAGTGTAAAGGAGCAACCGTATCTAAAATGCTAGAAAAGAGAGAGTCCATAGTTTCTGTTACATCATCAAGTTGTTCTGAGCTATTGGATATGCTGAGGAATTGAGATAAATCAGGAAGACTACACACACTCACACTGCGTTATCTGCTGTAGAGCTGCTTTGTTGGACTGACAGCACAACACTAGTGATGCAGTCAATTATAAAGTGAATAACTGACAATTAATCATTTTTTTATGGACTGTTGAAGTGTTTATTATAAATGCTTTACCTGTGCACATCATTATTAAAAACAAAAATCCTGTGTCTTTAATCGGTAACATGACCTTCCTGTACGGTCTGTAATGTGATTCATGAGTCCTGGAAATATAAGCCTTCAGTGTGTGTGATTGTGAGGTGTTAGTATAGAGATGAGTTTGAGCCGGCACAGAGCAGCCTTAACTCAGCCGTGCAAAGACATCTGATCCGTCAGAGAATATAGTGAAGAAACGCGAGTGATTCAGAGTCTGTCAGCTGAAAAAACATGCACTCCTCACCTGTCTCTCTCTCTCTCTCTCTCTCTGTAGGCGGGGCCTGTCTCTCTCTCGACTCCCATCACTAAAGTGGTGAAGAACGACTCTTACACGC